TTTCCAGCCCCAAATCGTTTTCGGACTCGCTGTCCTCTGATGGTCATCCCATCCCTTGCTGTTCTACCACCAAACCTGTTTTCCTGGAGAAAAAGAAACGCGGGGGACCTAGGGTCCCCAATTTGCCCCGAGCGACGTGCCCCGGTGACCCGGGCCCAGCCCGGGCCCATTGGACCCGACGAAGCGGCCAGGCATGGCGCCTGACCCGGAGCTCACCCCCTTCGACGGGCTCACGAACCCCGAGGCATCCGAAGGTTTGGCCGAGGTCTTTGGCGGGCGGCTTTGTTGTTCGACCCGAAATCCCAGAATTGGTGGTTTGGAGTGGTTGGGGGTTACCCGAAATGGGTTGTTTTGGAGTTGTGGAGTGGTTGGGGGTTACCCGAAATGGGTTGTTTTGGAGTGGTTGGGGGTTGCCCGACATGGGTTGTTTTCGAGTTGTGGAGTGGTTGGGGGTTACCCGAAATGTGTTGTTTTGGAGTGGTTGGGGGTTGCCCGACATGGGTTGTTTTGGAGTGGTTGGGGGTTACCCGACATGGGTTGTTTTGGAGTGGTTGGGGGTTACCCGACATGCGTTGCTTTGGAGTGGTTGGGGGCTACCCGACATGGGTTGTTTCCGAGTTGTGGAGTGGTTGGGGGTTACCCGAAATGAGTTGTTTTGGAGTGGTTGGGGGTTGCCCGACATGGGTTGTTTTGGAGTGGTTGGGGGTTGCCCGACATGGGTTGTTTTGGAGTGGTTGGGGGTTACCCGACATGGGTTGTTTTCGAGGGTTGTGGAGTGGTTGGGGGTTACCCGAAATGGGTTGTTTTGGAGTGGTTGGGGGTTGCCCGACATGGGTTGTTTTGGAGTGGTTGGGGGTTGCCCGACATGGGTTGTTTTGGAGTGGTTGGGGGTTACCCGACATGGGTTGTTTTCCCGACATGGGTTGTTTTGGAGTGGTTGGGGGTTACCCGAAATGGGTTGTTTTGGAGTGGTTGGGGGTTGCCCGACATGGGTTGTTTTGGAGTGGTTGGGGGTTGCCCGACATGGGTTGTTTTGGAGTGGTTGGGGGTTACCCGACATGGGTTGTTTTGGAGTGGTTGGGGGTTACCCGACATGGGTTGTTTTGGAGTTGTGGAGTGGTTGGGGGTTACCCGAAATGGGTTGTTTTGGAGTGGTTGGGGGTTGCCCGACATGGGTTGTTTTGGAGTGGTTGGGGGTTGCCCGACATGGGTTGTTTGGTTGGACCCGACATGGGTTGTTTTCCCCCGAAATGGGTTGTTTTGGAGTGGTTGGGGGTTAGTGGTTGGGGGCCCGACATGGTACCCAAGTGGGTGGTTGGTTACCCCCCCACCCGGGGTTGTTTTGGAGTGGTTACCCGACATGGGTTGTTTTGGAGTGGTTGGGGGTTACCCGACATGGGTTGTTTTGGAGTGGTTGGGGGTTACCCGACATGGGTTGTTTTGGAGTGGTTGGTGGGGGTTACCCGACATGGGTTGTTTTGGAGTGGTTGGGGGTTACCCGACATGGGTTGTTTTCGAGTTTTGGAGTGGTTGGGGGTTACCCGAAATGGGTTGTTTTCGAGTTGTGGAGTGGTTGGGGGTTACCCGACATGGGTTGTTTTGGAGTGGTTGGGGGTTACCCGAAATGGGTTGTTTTGGAGTGGTTGGGGGTTTCCCGACATGGGTTGTTTTCGAGTTGTGGAGTGGTTGGGGGTTACCCGAAATGGGTTGTTTTGGACTGGTTGGGGGTTACCCGAAATGGGTTGCTTTGGAGTTTTGGAGTGGTTGGGGGTTACCCGAAATGGGGTTGTTTTGGAGTGGTTGGGGGTTGCCCGACATGGGTTGTTTTCGAGTTGTGGAGTGGTTGGGGGTTACCCGAAATGGGTAGTGGTTGGGGGTTACCCGACATGGGTTGTTTTGGAGTGGTTGGGGGTTACCCGAAATGGGTTGTTTTGGAGTGGTTGTGGGTTAGCCGAACTGGGTTGTTTTGGAGTGGTTGGGGGTTACCCGAAATGGGTTGTTTTGGAGTGGTTGGGGGTTAGCCGAAATGGGTTGTTTTGGAGTGGTTGGGGGTTGCCCGAAATGGGTTGTCTTGGAGTGGTTGGGGGTTACCCGAAATGGGTTGTTTTCGAGATGTGGAGTGCTTGACATGGGTTGTTTTGGAGTGGTTGGGGGTTACCCGAAATGGGTTGTTTTGGAGTGGTTGGGGGTTGCCCGACATGGGTTGTTTTCGAGTTGTGGAGTGGTTGGGGGTTACCCGAAATGGGTTGTTTTGGAGTGGTTGGGGGTTACCCGAAATGGGTTGTTTTGGAGTGGTTGGGGGTTACCCGAAATGGGTTGTTTTGGAGTGGTTGTGGGTTAGCCGAAATGGGTTGTTTTGGAGTGGTTGGGGGTTACCCGAAATGGGTTGTTTTGGAGTGGTTGGGGGTTAGCCGAAATGGGTTGTTTTGGAGTGGTTGGGGGTTGCCCGAAATGGGTTGTTTTGGAGTTGTTGGGGGTTACCCGAAATGGGTTGTTTTGGAGTGGTTGGGGGTTACCCGAAATGGGTTGTTTCGGAGTTTTGGAGTGGTTGGGGGTTACCCGAAATGGGTTGTTTTGGAGTGGTTGGGGGTTTCCCGAAATGGGTTGTTTTGGAGTGGTTGGGGGTTACTCGAAATGGGTTGTTTTGGAGTGGTTGGGGGTTACCCGAAATGGGTTGTTTTGGAGTGGTTGGGGGTGACCCGAAATGGGTTGTTTTGGAGTGGTTGGGGGTTAGCCGAAATGGGTTGTTTTGGAGTGGTTGGGGGTTACCCAAAGTTGGGGTTACCCAAAATGGATTGTTTTGGAGTGCCCGAAACGGGTTGTTTTGGAGTGGTTGGGGGTTACTGGAAATGGGTTGTTTTGGAGTGGTTGGGGGTTGCCCGAAATGGGTTGTTTTGGACCCGAAATGGATTGTTTTGGAGTGGTTGGGGGTTACCCGACATGGGTTGTTTTGGAGTGGTTGGGGTAACTGGAGTGGTTGGGGGTTACCCGAAATGTTTTTTTTTGGAGTGGTTGGGGGTTACCCGAAATGGGTTGTTTTGGAGTGGTTGGGGGTTACTCGAAATGGGTTGTTTTGGAGTGGTTGGGGGGTTACCCGAACTGGGGTTGTTTTGTTTTGCAGTGGTTGGGGGTTACCCGAAATGTTTTTTTTTTTTTTTTTTTGTGGTTGGGTTACCCGAAATGGGTTGTTTTGGAGTGGTTGGGGGTTACCCGAAATGGGTTGTTTTGGAGTGGTTGGGGATTTGTTCCCTTCTTGTAGAGGGGCAAAGGGGAAACCAGCTCCACCTGCAAACAACCAGTCCGAGCCACGAATTAGGGGGACGCTGAGTCCATCTTTTTGTCTTGTTATTTAATCCTCTCTTTGTTGTATAACAAGAACGCCAACAAGAAGAGCAAGAACCAGCACAATGGTCTGCCACTTGTTATCGCAAGCTCTGAGAGGGTATTGGAAGTCTGTACCTTCAGGGTCATATTAACAACAGCTAGAGCTTACAGCATCATCTCATGCGGCAGAAAGCATGATATGGGGTGGGCTTGCCGAGTGACTCCTAGGATCCATCGGAAATGGAGGTTAGTTGCCAGAAATCCAGCGTTGTCGAGGGACAAACCTAACATTGATGGTAGCTCATGTTTGATATGTCTGCGTGATGTGGGTGGCGATTTGTTTTGTCTACCTTCGCATCATGCCTCGATGTTTCACGTGGATGACATCTGATGACCTGTACGATTGATAGAAGGCAGTTTCGGGGATGATTCTTTGTTTGACAGGCTGAGCATATCTGTCAGCACCCCTCAGCCCATTTTCAAATGTCCCACTCATCTGGTTTGAGGCTTCTCCAGAGTCAAACCATCGGGGATGGGAGTCTGGTGTGTTGGGATTACAACTTTGTTTAGGCATAACACTGTAACCCTGATGGGAGTTGTTTTTACACTGCAGATTGACGTGGAACCCCAAAAAGGGGTACTCTCAAAAAAGAGTCCTATACGGATGGTTTCTCTGGGTTCGAATGTGGGAAGTATGGGTCAGCAACTGATTTGGAGAGGGGAGGCGTCCCCCTTGGGCATGAGCTTCGATTGAGCTCACCCTCCAAAAATTATGGTTGGTTGGGTCAAAAGAACTGTTCCTGCACCTCTCAGGGGTTTTAGACCATTGCTAAGCGAACCATGACCATGGCCCGCATAAGGAGCGTGTGTATTTGTGTGTGTGTGTGTGTGTGTGTGTGGGTGCGTGTGTGTGTGTGTGTGTGCGTGCGTGCGTGCGTGCGTGCGTGCGTGCGTGCGTGCGTGCGTGCGTGCGTGTGTGTGTGTGTGTGTGTGTGTGTGTGTGTGTGTGGGTGTGGGTGTGGGTGTGGGTGTGGGTGTGGGTGCGGGTGTGTGCGTGTGTGTGTGTGTGTGTGTGTGTGTGTGTGTGTGTCTCTGCCCACAGCAGGTTGGGATTTACGAACAAAAGCGGGGGGTGTAACTCAACTAATGAGAGGACACCACAGCGGGTCCACAGCCCGTCAGGTTTGCGACGGCGCTAGACACGGAGTTCCAAAGCCCTTCTTGCACAACGAGGCAATCCGGTTTGGATTTGTCCGGAGACGTTCCCTTCCTCCCACAGCCGGAGAGATCTTTTCCGCCGTTCACATACGCAAAATCAGCGCAGCCGGGTTCAGTTTATTGCCTCTTCTCGAGTCACCTGAACTCACGGCCAAACCCTTTTAGCTTGAGATAGGTCATCCCCCATTTAATCAGCAGTTGCTTGTTGGGGTTTCCCCTATGGAGACAAACCCAAACAGCAAATTACCCTCTTTGCAACGTAGTGGAGGCAGGCTTTTTCAAGAGGACTGTAGTCTTCCACAACCCTTCTGTCAGCTTCCATGATTGTTGGACCTAGGGCATCCCATGCTCGGATGTTGGGGGTTGTCAAGTCTTTGGGCACCGTTCACCCACTTATTTCACAGACGGATGCTGAGACGCAATTCCATTTGCCGAGACCGTTTGTTCATCTTGAGATTGCGGCTTTGACTCTGAATTGCAATATAGAATCTGTTGGAAACTGGTTGGACATAACTCCATATTCAAATGATGTCCACTAAAGGGTAAAGGCAACCTATTGTGGAAACCATAGGAAAGGTCTTGCATGTCCCAAGTCCACCAAAAAAAACCCTATTTCAGATTCACACCTAGGACTCAACGGCCAGAGGCTCCCTCCAAAGCTCCCTTTGCCTTTCCTGGTTCGATTTTGTGCTCTGTTGCCCGAGACCTTGGGGTCGACCATAGGTCGTACAGTAGCGCTTCTTTTGTGGGTGACATGGCTATGATTTTTCAAACTTGGAACCTCAAAAGTGGTTGGTGGACATGAGGGTCCGCCACCCAGTCAAATTCAGGTTGTCGAATCGCCTTCTGGGCTCCCAGGAAGCGGTGGCGCTGGACTGGTTCCAACGCAATGTCAAGGCCTGCTGAGCGGCGGGGCCGCTCGGGGCAGGGCTTTGGGGGAGACCCCTTGCCAGCGATTTGATTGGATGGTTGGCCCTTCCTTGTTTAACCTTTGACTTGTCGGTCTTTTTTTTTGGGGACGTTTTGTGGAACATCATTAGCCATATGTCTACTTTCCCCGCAACCACGGAAGCAGACAATATTTTTGTCGAGGGGCAATAGCCACTCAGGTTCCACTTTTTTCCTCGCTTTGGAGCGGCCAACACTAGTGGTCGACCATGTGAGGTTTTTCACACCATGTTCCAAAATGGGCAACTCTCAGGACACCCCTTGGAGTTCACCTAGAAATCTTGACGTACTTGTACTCTGTGCACAGGCCCTTTGTGGACCATGTTCCTTTGGAATGGGAACCTGCACATTTATGTCGATTGGTGGATATCCTTTGCAAGGCGAGCCTTGCTTTCCTAGTTGCTTCCACCGGCGTGACCGGGTTGGTCAGGATTGCTCCGAGTTAGTGACCAAATGTTTCGTGTTGGCTCGACGTCTTTATTAATGGATACCCCTTGTTGGAGAGACAGACGAAAAAGGGCAAAGCGGTCTGCCCGGCTTGTTTGTCCAAATGGTGAGACTTGGACTGACACCTACCCGCTGCGCTCGGTTCGCTCACCCTTTTGAAGTCCGGACAATTGCTCGCCACCAGGAGGTGGGAGCAACAGCCCGGCTGTCAAGGTTCCACTGGTTTGCCCCAAACTGAAGCCCGGGGGGTTGATTTCCCCCAAATCGAAGGAGGTTTGGCCATTGCTGCTCATATAGATGTTGTTCCAGATGCGACTTGGCTGTGGAAAGAACTTTGGAGTTTGTTTCAAAGCAAAGTGTGTTCAGGTGACCCTTAGTGGTGTGGTGGTTTGGGGAGTTGATTTTTTCGGGGTAAAACTGACGAAAAAGTTCCCACCCACCAATCTAAACCACCAATTCAGAGTAATCTGTAAGGCAGCGTGGGCCGCGAAAGGCAACACTTCGCTGAACACGGGAAACCCCAATGGCACAGGACAACCTCCTTTTTGCACAAAAGAAACAGACACCCTGCGTAAACTGCACACACGGGTGGAGTTTGCACTTGCAGTCCGCAATGCGCACAATGACGGCGCTTTTGGACTTACTGCCGCACTTTGACAGCCCTGAACATCACGCGTTTGCCACACTCCTCAAAAAAAACAAAAACAAACAGCATATCAACCTTTTTATGCATGAACACCGTCGCGTATGAATGCTTGCAACCGCTCCCATTATGACCAGCCAGCACGCTGCTGCCCTCCCTTCACTGTTTTTTTGTTTTGGGGAGGGGGATTCTTCAATCAATTGGACAATTCTGTTCATCCGGGCTGACAATTCCGGGGATGCGGGACCTGTTTGTCACCCATTGGGAAAACCCACAGCCGCCAGTTGTTTATTTGAAGCTCGCCGATCAGGAAACTGTGGCGACGATCCCCTTACAGTCATTTTGGTGACGGCAAGTCGTTTTGTTTTTTTTCCAGGCCACGGCGGGTGCCAGGATTTGACCATAGCTTGGGGAGGGGAGGCCCATCCGTGAAGGCTCAGCTTGTAGCATTCGCGGCCTTGCCCTCCTTTTCGCTCAAGCACATGTTGGGTATGGTTCTGGGGGGTTGCCCTTCGTGAAGGTCTACGTGCTGAACTTGCCCAAGTTCTACAATCGCTGCCTGGCAGGTCTCGTTTTGAATCAAGGGTTGATGTCGGGGCTTGTTCCTTCAAAAGTGAAGATTTGCCTCTAAAACGGGGCAGCCCCCTGCCTAGTCACTCAGGGGTTGAGTGGATTCCCATGCAATGCGATGTTCCCGGAAGAGAGAGCCGGTGAAGGAACCTTCGCCATGTGCGGCAGAGAGAAAGGTGACAATGGACCCCTAGGGCTCGAGTCAAGCATTTGCCCTGCCAACGTGGAAGCTGACAGAAGTGTTTTGAATAATCTCCTTGTGGGGAAGCCCTTGGTTGTTGGAAAGAGGATGCCAACTTTTGCCAGGCCTTTGGCAGGATTACTGGTCATTTTGACACCTCACAGGAGATGACGGCACATGAGTGTGAGCATTGTATGCCACAGTGAGCATTGTATACCACAGTTTTCATATGATCTGCATCACACCGCTCCCGTGGCAAAGGTCACTCTGAGCAACAGTCACTAGGACATCAGGAATGTCGAATTCCCATGAACACCCTTTGATTTGGCTTCACACTTCATTTCCAGTGCCTTCCAGGAGGAGCGCTTCCCAGGGGTGAAACTCATTTTCGAGGTACTTTGCTTGACCCCAACATGAGAAGCCGCCCAAACCTGTATTGGGTTTAACAGCTAAACCTTTACAATCCTTTACAACATGTGAGTACAACCAAAATACAATGAGAGCCCTGCTAAACAAATTCGTATTCGCCCTCGAGCAGGGCCAGTGGCATTGGCCATTTCATAGGGTTCCCTGTGTTCAATTCGGTGAAGCCTTCCAGAATTACGATGGATTGTCTCAAAGCTCACAGAAGACACTCATACATGTCGGCTTGTTTCTGTGGTTGCGACATCAATGCCCGAAACCACACTTTACAGAAACCACACGTAAACGGACTCTTGCGATTATTTGTAGAGCAATTCCCGTATTGTCACTGACAAGCAAGCCCATGCGCTTAGGTTGGGATGTGATCTCTGCACGTCTGGCTGAGCTGAAGATTTACCCTGAAAGGGTCATAGGCGTGGACATGCAGGCGGGATCTCAAGCCGCAAGTTGATTTGGAGTTGGGCTGAGGGTGGGTTAGACCCAACAACCAACCCATGTGAAAAGTTGCTGCTAGAAAAAGGGGCCCCTAAGTTCGTGCCATTAAGCGTTCGCAAGTTGGATTCTTGGATTTTTGCGTACTTGGGCATATTCAGCCCCCAAAAAGATTGTTCCTCCAAAATAATGGTCTGCCACGGGAGCAACTCCCCCCGCCCCCCCTCCCCCCCAACTTTGTACGAAGGGGGGGTCGCTTTTTGGTGGGGATTCCTTCTCCCCGATTAAAACTGGGGGGCATCAGCTGGGAGAAAGCATGCGATGGTCTGTCACCGCCGCTTCAGGTTGCAAGGCTCCGAGTTTGTTTGTGGTTCAAACATGTTCAAACAAGTCAGCCCTGGATGGGCTCGAAACACGTGTGAGGAGCCCGGCATGTACCAGACTGCCAAGTGGAATGGCGCAGTGCTCAGTTTTGGGTTCTTTAGAGTGGGGCCGCTGGTTTTTGGGCACGAGCGCATGACAATTGGTTATCAATTTTACCACAACACAGCGCGCAAGCGAGCAACCACGTACAGGAGCCAGTTGGGCTTTCCCTTTAAGGTAGTTAGTTTCTCAGTTGCCTAAGCTCCATAACTTCACCGATTTCCCAGCGAACCAAGCTAAGTAGCACCAACTATTTAGCTCAGACAACTTTACCTAAGTAGCCCCAACCACGGGTGGTTTGAGGAGAGGGGCACTCGAGACTGGACGAGCTCAAATGGCACACTTCGAACTAGTGTCGCGCGCACATGTTCGCTAGGCTGCAGCCGATTCCCACTAGAATATTGTCGAGGACCGAATGGTGAAAGTCCAGCAAGGTAGACAATGGTCAACGCACATTTAACAAGAACTTCTCAAGTTCCGGAACTAATCGAGTCTGCTTTCTTTGAGAATGCGTGCGCTGCGCCTGGAAAAGCTAAGGGAAGGCTAAGAGAAAGTTAGAAAACCGCAGAACTGAGAAATAGGCGCGGGCGGAAACCGTGGCCCTGTGCTGGAATTCGGCTCTTCTGCGTGTGCGCAAACCAGCTCGGTTGACGGTCCTGGAGACGAGCCCATTGGCACGCCCGCACGCACTGCTTCGCAACCATCACATCTCAAACCCTCTGCGGACTTTCGACGTAACAGCTCGTTGCTTTCAACGTACTAGCTATCCAAGAAGTGGCTAAGTAGCGATCATTTGGCGAGTTAGCTAGGCTTTCCCCCTAGCGAGCAAGCTCACGAGATAGCTAGTCAACGAGTTAAGCAGCCAGTAAGTTTACTTAACTAGCCCTTTAGCTAGCTAGCTGACTCTAAAAATAGCTATCTCCTAATTACTTCATTCGCAAGCTAAAATTCTAGCTTGCTAATTAGCTAACTGAGCCAAGTACTTAGCTACCAACTTGCCAGCAAGCAAACTAGATAATCACTGGCTCACGAGCTCGCCGACTAGGTGGCTACCAGGAAGCTGGCCAACTTTCACGCAAGCCGGCTATCCAACAATTTCCTGTCAGATGGTCATGTCTTATGGGCGTTTCACTTCACCCCTTACAAACTCACGGCAAGCAGTGGCAAGCAGGAATAGAACATGGCGCAAGGAGCTTGAGGCGCTAGGGCCTCTGAGGCCCTCCTGGTTCCGGGTGTAGCTTCAGTTTGCCACGGTGCCCGTTACCTTGTCCTTTGATGATTTCAACTGCCAGTTCGCACATGTACCGCGTTGGCCACACCTTGGGCACTGGCCAAGAGAGACACAGTTGTCCACCAAGGCTGGGTGTTTCAGCATGGAACCCAAAACGAGGACCCTAGAAGGAGATTGCTCGTAGGGGATGGGTTTGGGGGTAGGGACACTTTGCAGGTGATTGATTTCCTGCAGGTCGGAGGTTTTCAGGCCAACAGGATTCTCCGGCGTCCAACACTTTTTTGCCGGCCAGGTTGGGACCTTGCACAGTCCCCATAAAAAGGTGTCTCAAAATGGAGGACATGGTTTTAAAGGGAAACCACAAAGAAACAACCGATCTAAGATTTCTTTAAAAGGGACGGGACATCGCGTTTGGTGCCGAAAGTGTCCATGCGGTGCTGTTTCAAGGTGGTGCTTTCTTTTGGACATCGCGTTTGTTTTGTTGGGTTAACCCCCCTTTCTGAAAGTGAACCCCTAGCCGCCATCCGCTTCCACCTCTCCATGTTTGATCCAGGCTGGATCCCACAGTGGTTCAACCTGAACGAGGCGCAGGCAGGGAATGATGTCCGGGGCCTTCAGGACTTCGACTCGTTGGTTTTATGCGCTGTGTGTGTGTGTGTGGTGTGTGTGTGTGTGTGTGTGTGTGTGTGTTTGTTTTTGAGGGTGTCCTTTCGGTTTGGTCCGAAGGGAAACAAAAGGAAAACCATCATGTTGGGGGCTATGCAATGGGTGTTTTCAGTTGGGGATTGTTGAAGTTAGATGTCTTGTTGGTATCCCCTTCAAAAGGCGGCACACGGCGGCACCAAGGTCCGAACAGAGGCCGTCCTTTTGACAACCCTCCCCCCCCCCCCGATTTTGTAAATACTGGACCGTCGAGAGCAACCTATTTCATGTGCCCCACGCTCCAATGATTTCAGGGGCTCGTGGCTTAGCAATGGCTCCGCTTCGTTTGGTGGTTGCTTTTGTTGGTTTGGTTGCTTTTGTTCATGTGGTTGATTTGGTTGGTTTGATCGGTTTGGTCAGCGTGGCTCGCTGGTTTGTCAGAGTAGCGTGGCAGCGGGTGTTGCTCCTTTGTGCTCATCTCTTGAATTCTTCTTGCGAGAAAATCCTCCAGAATGTCATGCGGGGCCTGCCTGCCACTGTGAGCCATGAAGCCACTCAAAAACATCAGGTATCAAGAGGCCATGAAGTTTAATAGGGAACCACCTCACAAGTTGCTGGACATGAATCCCCACCGAATTCTGATGTCCACCAACAATTCCACCATACCCAAGTGCCATGAGAAAGGTCCTGGAAGCGTTGTGGCGGATGAATGACCATTTTGTACTGGTCGCCGCTGGTGCCATTGGGATAAAGGAACCCGGCCGGATGTCACGCGCGGAAGAACCCTCCTGAGGGGCAAGGCAAGAAGATCACGGCCTTTTCTCAGTCTGCTTGAGAGATGAATTTCACTGTCCAAGCGGTCCAATTCCCAATACCCTCCCACCAAAAACGCGGAACCTGACGTTCGGGACCCAGTCCCTTTAAAAGAAGAACGGTCTTTTTGGACCCCCCTGTCAGGTTCCATGTCAACTGGGAGGGTAAGGGACCCCAACGGGGTCTGGCGGGTTTTGGTCGCAGGCGATGGCCAAGAAGCCGGAGAACGACATGGGCATGATCCTCGGCACCGTGGGCTGTGCCCGGAGCCTCAGCGCCCCTGGTCCACTTTTCACGCGCGAAGCCAGAAGGAGGTGGTGTTGCTCAACAGGGGTTCAACTCGGGGTACCCGACCCCCCCCCCCATTGTGTGAAGAGCAACACCAACAGAAGGTGGGTGAATCAATTGTGGTTTGTGGACAGACCCTCATTTGCATCTAGGGGTCTCCCGGTTTCGGAGAAAGGGCAGTGGCTTGTGATGTTTGCGATCCAGGCGTACTTCTTTTGCTCGCGTGTTGCACTTACTTTGTCTGGAGATGACAGGTAGCCTCGAAGCTGCCCAGGAGCTCCCTCCGCAGTTCTGGGTTTTAGCGGTTCGCTTTGTTGGGCTAGAAAGGACACGCCAAGCACGAAGCCGACTTGTTCTACTGTTGGAGGAAATCCGCTGCGGTTTGTTTCCTTGTTCACGGGCTTTCATGCCTTTGGTCCCGTAGGCGTCCTTTTTGGTTGATTTGGTTTAAAAATAGAGGGCCCTCGTTTACCTGGTGGTTCAATGAGCTACTAGGGCCATCTATTTTCCCAAAAAAGGACACCTATGTTTGGTCCCCTGAGAACAAAGCACAAAGCAAGCAGCAAACATCGAACACAACGCCGCGCAGCGCCCATCCATCGCGCCGAGGCTGCGGCACACTTCAAAGCGCAGGACAGGGTGGGTCGCACAAGATTTGTTTCAGCAACCATGCCCTGGTGTTTTTTTTTGACAGTTCGGTGGCTTAACCCCCCAACCCCAACCATGGTTGGGGTTGGGCAAACTTTGTTGATGCAACCACGCAACCACGCCCATTTCCTTCAATGGGAAACCAAGAGAGTATTCTTCAAAGGCTGGTTTCCTCAAGGGCTTGAACCGCACCGCGCAGGATGCTGTTTTGCGTGACAATCCGAAGCTTGGCCTGGTCCTGGAGGCGAATTGATCGATCCCGTCCGGGCAGGGTAGAGCTTAGGGTCCATAGGAGCTAACAATTGGATGAAAGCAGAGGGGCACCCGTTGCCTTAATTCTGCTTGCCCAAGGTTTTGGTGAAAATCAAAAGACACGGGAGACGTGTCACCTGCGGGACTCAATCCCTCGGACTTCTTGCGACACCTGCGGAGTTTGTGGCGGGGAGTTTGGAAAGGGCAGATGCCATATGAACATTACTTTCACAAGCGCCGCAACTCGGACCTGGTCCTGAGCAACGTTCCTTTCAAGGCAGTGATTCCTTGGTGACCATTTTGGACTTGCAGGTTTCAATCAACACATTAGTTTTCTGGGGAATGGCGTCCTTCTGGAAATCGTTTTCAAGAGGCTGCCTTCCATGTGTGTTTTTGAAAGGAAACCAGCAGTTGGACGGTGCAGCTGGAAGCAGTCCATGCTGAGAACCTGCAAGAAATTGGTTTGGCTTCTTTTGGCTCTTCCCAGATTCGAAGCGGCCATGTCAAACATGCTCGCTTCGGGGGTAAGAACACGCTCGCCCATGACCGCTGGGCCGTCGGGATGGCCTCCCAGATTCCTGATGGAAGCACGCATGAAGCCTTCGAATCTGGGAAGGGTAGAGGGAAACCAAAAGAAGCCAATCCAATTTCTTGCAGGTTCTCAGCACGGACTGTTTCCAGCTGCACCAAGGTTGCCTTTTTTTGGAGTCCCTTGTTTGTGAATAGGCCCCCTCGAGGATCTTCTCGTTTCGCGAACACGGGACACATCGGATGCGGCCGGTCAGCCTGGGGGTCGGCGCTCGGGATTCGAAGATTCGGGGCTCACAATTGCCTCACGGGGCCTTCAAGGATACGCTTTGACGTGTGGACAATCGGGCTTCACCGGTTTGCGTGAGAAGGGAAGGCCTTCAAGTCATGGTAAAGCCACCATTTTGGCATTGCAGAGCTCTGGTTATTTTCCACAACCCTGGCTGATGTTGAACATTGCGTTTGGACCCCTTGTGAAACTTGTGAGGCGATGTATGTTTTTGGTCGTGGGCCAGACTCGTTCATGCGGTCATTGCTTTGGAAGGCTGCGAGCAGATGGTATGACGGGACACACAAACATGGCCAACATGGTCTCCCTTTTGGTTTCCCATTAAATCAGCCTCAAGGGGGTCTCAAAGCACACCCACATAGCTATCAATAGCATTGCCTACCGCATCGTTTGTCAGGCACTACCTGCCACAGGTCCGTGGCCGGCGGTGTGAGGGAAAGAGCTAAGATCGGGGGTCTGGAGACGTGCCCCATTGGAGTCGGTCACTAAAGTGGGGCAGACCACGAGCCACAAAGTCCAACCAGAAACGACCGCCAGGATGACTCCTACCTCCTTGACGACTTTGTGGTGCGATTATGGCGCATCGTGACGCAGGAGACGTGTGGCGAGCACCCCCCCCAAAGGCCGAGAAAGTCAATTGGAAGATGTGGCATATCAATATGATTTGTCCCCCCCCCTTACACAATCTGGCACAGCATATCGTGTACGGACTCTCATGTACAATCATTTTAGGTTGGGGTCTTTCTTTGCTCATGTATTGAAGTCTTAAATTTTTGATTTGATGAATCTCTGGAACAGGAATGCTTAGCAAAGAATGTTGTTGACCTACAACTCATACATTGACCAAAAGAACCTCCCCATTCTCATGAGGAGCGCAGCACATATCATCACCGCACCTCGCCTCACCGCAACTTGCCTCGCCGCACCAAGCCTCGCACTCACGGCACAGCGCAGCACTGCGCAGCACAGCGTAGCACACCGCAGCACACCGCAGCACACCGCATCATCTCACCTCAACTCGCGTGGGTGCACCGCACACTTCACCTCGCATCACATCACAGTGAAGCACCGCAGAGCGCCGCGCGTCACATCGCATCACCTGACCTTACCTCTCATCACATCACGTCACAGCGCATCACGCGCAGTTACATGACAGCACTGCGCAGCGCAGCGCATCACAGCGCATTGCATCACAACACCTCGGTGGCTGAGAGTCTAACCGGCTTCCTGTCCTCCTTCATTTGGCGCTGGATCTCGAGCTGTCTTCGCATCTTTGTCAAATATGTTATCCCTAGTGTCGGCTTCTCAATCATGTCTGCTGAAGAAGGTTCCGTCTGATCGAGTTTGATGTGATTTGCTTCAGGCGCTCTTGCGCACAGCGGTGTGTGCTTGAAGAAGCCGCGATCGACTTGGACACCCCCGAATACAGTGCAGCTTGTTGGAACTGTTGCGGGGCCAAGCAACGATGCTGACCTTGCGAAAGTGTTGCGCACGCCGCGAAATCTGCGCATGACCGTGAGAAAGTGCTGCGCCTGCCACGAAATCTGTGCCTGACCGTGGGAAAGCGCTGACCCCTTTGTTCGGATGTGAATGGTTCTTGCTTCCTTGAAGACGAACATGGAATCCCAGAGAACGACAAGCAGACTCATCCACATGCTCTATATCAGGTTTGGGGTCACGCATGAAAGTTCATGAATTACTTTGCTGGCCCCTCTTCCATGGCACTTCCCTTTTTCAGACCCTTTCAAGGCGATGGATTCTTTGCGGTTGCAACCCCTGGCTGTCCCTTTGGGGACCCCCCCCCAGAGCAAACCACACGTGTCTTCCTGATCCCGCAACTGCTTGAACAACCAACCCGGTGCTAGACGGGAAGGCCCCTAGAAGTGAATCAGCCGTCCGAGTTCTGAGAGAAATCAACGGTAGCAGCTGGTATCCAGCCCACCCACGACAACTAAAAGGAGGTTGTTGAAACCGTTTGATGGTTGAATCATGTCGAGGCAGGGGTTGGAGCTGTGGGGACCAGGTTCCTGTCCCTTCCCCACACAGACACGAGATACGCGCCTGGAATCTTAGCTTCTTGAATTGCGTCAAGGTTCGGCGTGTTTCTCGCTACAAAAGCCAGAATTGCAATTCCCTAAAATACCAATCCAAACCACAAACTAAGGGTTGCTTGCTTGCTTGCTTGCTTTGGCTGACTTGCAATATGTGAAGACCACACATGATCCGCGCTCAAACAACAAACCCTCGCACCGTGCCAATTCGAGGGACGCAGCTCCAAAGGCCGAACTGAGCAGCCCGGCATGGTTTTGCTGGGCCACAGATGTGCACTCTGGCCATTTTTGTCATGGGAGGGGGGAAGCTCAAGCACCCCAGCAGTGGTTCAGCGGCACCCTTCCGCGCCTTTCTATTTGGTGGCTGCGTTCGGGCTCTAAAAACCAGCTTCGGCTTTGGAGGCTTCGGCTCACTCGCGATGCCGCCAAACCCGGGTCGATTCCTCCCATTCTTGACTGCTTCTGGGTTGGATCTTCAGACTTGAACTTTTTGGGAAATCAAGTTGGGTTTTCCACTAACCCCCCCCAAAAAGTTACTCACTTTTTGCAGGGGGGTCGTTCCAGCAACCGAGCCTTCCGCGCGGAGATTGGAAGGAGCTCCCCTGCGACTGGGAAGTGCTCCAGCTTCTGGGCCGGTGCCCTTTCGGGAAATGCGCCGGGGTCTCGGCCCGGCCGCGGGCCCCGCTGCGGGCCCCCGGCGGTGGGTTGAAATCGGGGGACCCTTGCAAAGAGGTTTGGCGGCCATTGGCGTCCCATCCATTTTGAGTTGGGATTCCATGAGCCCCAAAAGGGGGTCCAAGTCCAAATAAACAGCCAGGCCCAGTACATGCCCAGCCGGGGGTTTTCTTGTGAGTATGCTTTCTGTTTGCTCGCCAGTTTTTGGAACGATTGTACATGTAGGGAGCGCTGGTTTGTTGCGGGACGAGCCAAAAGTGCACAAGGAAAGCCAGCGGTGTTGGAGTTTCCTTCCAAGAGGGAAAGGCCCAACGAATCAAAGGGCAGGCGATCCCCCTTCAGGTCTCTTTTCAAGTGCGCTTCGATTGTTTCTGGGAGTTGCGCTTTGATCCCACGAGTTTTGCGTTTCGACATGTGCCACCCAGCGTTTGAACATCACCCCTCCCCCGTCATTCGTCCTCTCCTCCACCCAAAGCCACCACTAGCCAACCCACCACAAACCAACCCCCAACCCCCAACCCCCAACCCCCCACACCACCTTCAGGGACCCTAAGCAGGTGTTCAGGTGTTAAAACAAACGGGTTCCAGCTTGCACCATGGGACAATCCTGCGTCTAGCATCCCAGAAGCAAAAGCAACTTGTTCGAACCCACTAGGGTGGCCCCCTGTTAGTCACCGAAATCTGGGCGATGTACATTCTTTTACCACCCCTCAACCCCCACCCCACACCACCCGCCCACATCGCCCCATCTCCCGGATGAGGTGGATCCCGGGCTTCCCCCCATCGCCCCACATCCCCATCCGCATATCCCCCGCGTCCATCCATCCATCCATCCGTCCGTCCATCCGTCCGTCCGTCCGTCCGTCCGTCCGTCCCGCCATCCATCCATCCATGCATCCATCCATTCATTCGTCCGTCCGTCCATCCATCCATCAATCCACCCCCATCTCATTGCCCCGTCATCCTCCACTTACCCTTCCCCACTGCCCTCCCCCCCCCCCCCCGCCTCTCCCCACCTCCCCCCACATGGCAAGCCGAGCCAGCGCCGAGGTTTCGGAGCACCTGGCCCGCATCCAGCCCGACGGCAATGAGCCCGAGAAGCCGGGGATCCATAGAATGAACCAGTCCAGGGGGAGGAACCATAAAGGTCCTGGAGAAATCAATCCCAAATTTGAAATGTTGGAATTAATTACCCAGAACCCGAAGTGGACACCATTTGGAGAACATCTCACAATTTTGTTTGTGGGGCACTTCATGTCCCTTTCAAACCAACGTTTGGACAGTAATTTTGAGGTTGTCACTTTCAACCCTGTTGCTCAAAGAAGTGTTCTTTAAAGGGGGTCCGGGATCCAGGGTCCAGGTAGCCTACTTGGCCTCCGGGAATTTTAGCCACCTTTGAGCCCTAAGGGCAGTAAGCCCTAGTAGGGTCCACACTAGACGCCTTTGGGACAGTTGGCTTCAAGGAAGCGACACGAAGCCATTCAATTGGAAGTGGCCCGAGGAACGAGCTGACTCGACCCATGAGGGTCCTGTGCTGGAGGATGCCTTAATTTCAGGTTTTGGAATCGTTGTAGCAATTGCAGATTGGTGCCAGTTCCTTGTTTGGTAGCATAGGAGATCGAAAGAGCTCAGCCGCCGCGGCAACTTCCCGGTTCAAACGAGATATCACGAGATTGGTCAAGATTGGTCCTCTCAGTTGTAATATCCTAAACAGAAAAAGCAATAGACTGGGGCCCAAAATAGATAGATGAGAGGACAAATAAATTTTGGACTGGATAAGATAGATAGATTAAATTAAACGAAACTAGTTTCGGGGAAAAGGAGAATACTGGAAAGGCCAGGCGACAAACCCACAGCGCATCAGCAAAGCATCGAGGAGGGCTCTAAATTTTGTTACAGTTCCAAGTCTAGAGGGTTACTTTCCCAAATGCAAGGCCCAGCCATTTTCCTTGAGGCTGGTTGTTGCACATCCATGTCGACGTGTTTGCGGGCTTCTTGCTGGGAATGACCGGATGAAATAACCAGGGCCACAGGCAAGATTCATGGTCAAGCTTTTCGGATGGAGGACATGTACCAAGAAGTTATCAAGCGAAAGGGCTCGAAAGGGGTTGAGGGGAAACCAATCTGTTCATTTGCACGTATGAACCGATTCGTTTATTTGGAAAGCAGTTCTGGCCAGGGTTCAAATCTGGTCTCCCTCGCGACGCTGCAAACCATGAGTGCCTGCTTGACCCTGCCAACTCATGAGGCCATTCGCTGCAGGCTTCCATTCTTTTGCGCAAGCTTTGGGAGACCAACCACCCCTTCCATATCCACTTTCGGGTAATCAAACAATGGAATGTCCTGGCCTTTCACCGCGAGGCCTTTGTCAGGGAAGGCCAACGAGACTTGCAGTGTTTCGCACGAAAGGTAAGAACATGCCCCCAATGCAAGACGTCATGTTTGTGTGTGTGTGTGTGTGTGTGTTGGGTGCGTGCATGCGTGCGTGCGCGCGTGCGTGTGTGCGTGCTTGCGTGGGTGGGTGGGTGGGTGGGTGGGTGTGGGTGTGTGGGTGTGTGGGTGTGTGTGTGTGTGTGTGTGCGGAGCATCAGATTTACGCTGATGCCAACTTTTCAACATGCAGGGGGACACTCTGGGTCGCGTTGCCCAACGAAGACCGTCCAGAGTCGTCGTGAAGCAACACGGGACGCCGTGCTGTGTACCTGCACCATTTGAGTGATTCTGAAAGTCTATTTGGCCCCCTTGGTTGCGGCGCTGTTTGTGCTTCTTGTTCTTTCTGGTAACGTGTTCGCTGCTAGACGGAAACCAAGTGACTGTGAGCCGAAAATCCTCCTACTCGAGACTCATCGGTTGTACTCGAAGGATTAGCACTCTCCCTTGGGAGTCGAAGAGTGTGTGTGTGTGTGTGTGTGTGGGTGCGTGCGTGCGTGCGTGCGTGCGTGCGTGCGTGCGTGCGTGCGTGCGTGCGTGCGTGCGTGCGTGCGTGCGTGCGTGCGTGCGTGCGTGCGTGCGTGCGTGCGTGCGTGCGTGCGTGCGTGCGTGCGTGCGTGCGTGCGTGCGTGCGTGCGTGCGTGCGTGCGTGCGTGTGTGTGTGTGTGGGTGGGTGGGTGTGGGTGTGGGTGTGGGTGTGGGTGTGGGTGTGGGTGTGGGTGTGGGTGTGGGTGTGGGTGTGGGTGTGGGTGTGGGTGTGGGTCGTGTGCGCACATGTGCGTGTGCGTGGCTGTGCCACAATGCCAGGCACCGCCTTTTTTGGTGGGCTTCCAACAATGAGGAAGGAAGACAAGCACCTGGATGGGTCCCAGCGATAAAAAACCGCCTGCCTCCCAGTCTGTGCCATGCTGGAGTGAACTGGGGCCCGGGCCCCGGATGCATCGAGCATCTCAGCCCTGCAGCCACCCCCCCCCGGCCACCGTCTTTGAGCCACCCCTGTTTGGCTTAGGTGCTAAAAACCTATATTTTTTGAATTTTCCACAAAGGACACCAACAAGGAATGGGTACTTGTTTGATTTTCCAGACCCTCTATGTAACACCCGGTGGCTGGAGGTTGTTTGTTGTGCCGGTTTGTGACTGAACGGCGACGTCATCCATTGTGACGCCCTTCAGTGTTCTTTGCTTGTGTCCCTTTCTTTTGTTTGAGGGTATTCATCTTGGGGTTGATCTAGACCGCAAAAGGACACCTCCCCCATTTTGAGACTAATCCATTTGTGAGTTTTCTGTCTTGCTGTCCATTCTTTAAACCTTGGAAGCCTTGTACTTCTTCCAGCTTTGGGGCCTTTCCAGATGCTCACGTCACAATGAGCGAGCGACGGTCCATACTCACCAATGACCAGAAGCAAATTTGTTTTGAAAGAACTCACCAAGCTCCCACGTCCTCCTAAATCTTGACCGTGAAGAGCTCACATGACAACGAGGCTCATCGCCACTGTCTTTGTTGAAAGGCCTGTCCACCACGCGACAGCCTCCACACCCACTTT